CATAGATATGTTAACATCAAAAAGAGTAAACCAATGTAATTTGAGAAAGAGAGAGATTTTTAAAGAGTCGTCTAATAATATGTTTCTACAGCTCTAGTATTTCATGAAGATAACTTGCATACAGTGTGTTACGGTATGATAATGCATAGAGATAAAGTCTAGTTTAAAGGTATACATAAAGCTACCTAACGGTCATGGAACGCTAGCACACAGAACGTGGTCCTGAAGGCCGGCTGGGCTGAACAGATAAGTGATTAACTGCAGACAATGCCGACGCTCCAGACAACCACAAACTAAACACAAGCTGGTTCATTTCCTGAGAGGCTCAAAGTTCAACAAGTGATTAGTCTGAAAGAACCACACCTGCCCACGAACCCACAGCTAGTCCAACGTAATTTTAAATATTGTAATAGATACAGTATAATGCTTTCAACTGATGGTACACAACATGCAACATTCATTGTCAATAAATCTGTGGATCATTCTCCAAATAGAGAGAAAAATCTACTCAGAATTTTTCAGTCAATTCAGATTTGACTGATCAGTACAGAGATAAAAGAAATGAGTTTTTCCCTTTTTTTGTGCAAATTGTACCCTTAAATCATTCCACAAATGATTATATGATAAGTGGTGGAATTTCCATCAGAGTTTTAACCTGGTGTTTAAAATCACAAAAACATTTTTAAAAGTTCTGAACTAAAGTTAGTAGCAGCGTAAAGTAAAGAGTATATGCTGATTTTTAAAATAGAAATGCTTAATTCATTTTTTTTTAATCAGTTGTGATCACAGGATGTTTTTTGTTTATGAGAAGGGGGACATCTCTGTTGATAACTTGGCCCAGGTAAGAACCTCTGTATGGGTAAATAAAAAAAAATCTACAACAGTGAAGACATATTAACTGTCAAAAAGGACTCTGGATCTTCCAAACTGATGATTTTGATTTGCTCAATCCTTAGGAGCAGCAGCTCAGTTGTACTAAAAATGATTTTATTTGCCCAACAAGGTGTTTAAAATATATCAAAGGAGGAAAAAAAAACATGAATATAAAATGTATTTATCAGGCTGAAACCTGTTACTTTTGCTTTTTTTTGGGAACTCAGATATTTAATAATTATTATGACTAAAATATGCTGACCTTCCTGGATATTGAACACTAAAGAAAAATTGTTTGTCTCTCGTCTATACGACACCAATGTGAATCTGCACCTTCTTTATTATGACTATCAATAAACAGGTAAAATGGTCAAACAATAATATTACAAAGGAAACGTATTCACTTTAATGTGTTTTTTCTTATGATGGTATTTTTTCAGCCAGCTAAAATACAAGACAATACGTTTATGTTCAGAGCACTTTGTGCCTCCAGTTCATGCTGCACTTGTGTTTGCGTGTTTTCTATATAACAAGTGATTCATGAGTCAAACCTCCTTCCTGGTTATCACAGAATACTTAACTCATATCCTTGTTCTACAAGTTGTACAAATAATTTTAATCATCTATCCTAAATGAATACTTATATAACTAAAAGTTACCCGTCTTGCATGAATTCTCATTTTATTTGATGTCTGCTGTTACTATTTCCTGCCAATCAGTGTGTCATTAAATTTTCATGTAGTCTAATAAGGTCACAGCTTAGTCCATCTTGAAGGTCACACACACAAACACACAGCGGGAGGGACAAAATGTCAGAGTATACAGTGGGACTCTTAAGGGTAAACAGCTACAATCTTGAGCTGACAGAGTAGATCTAATAATGTTGCGTATGTCCTAAAGTTACCGCACACACACACACACACACACTGCTGGATGCCATCACTGTGGAAGCGGATGCTAAGCTGCAGAAGAAAGGAACTTGAGCTGTATGTGGCAAGTTGGCTCATAGAGGAGGCAGGGGGTTGGTGGCGAAGTAAACCTGTAGGTTACCGCATCATCACGATCACAGCGTGGAAGCTGACGTGGTTAAAATGTTTTAACACTGAAAGAAAGCTTGCTTCTGTGGGCATCAGTGAGCTCTTGCTTTTTCTTTAGGAATCAATCTCTTGTTTATTGTCTGTTTTTACTTATATGTTTACACTGGCCTTTTTTTCAGTTTAATTAGACCCTTAATAAAAATCTCTCCCCTTGTGTGTCAGAGGAGCTCAAGAAGAAATCAACTGATCTGTAGATGAGCACATGGGAGAGGAACGACAGGAAGTAGATATAATCTGTACTCACATGCAGCTACGTTAGACTTTAAGGTTACATTACTAATCACAGTTCCACATCATCAGCCTGTATTGAACTTATGTTCAGGCCCTCCTTTGCACAATAAGTGCCGCCCAAACATAGATATATGAATTTTCATGGGTTCGAAGTGGAAACTAATATTAAGATTATCCTCTCCTCACTTAATTTCCTTTGAGGTTTACCATAAGAATATTTACATAATGTAATAATTTAACCTTCCAGAATAATACCACAGTAGTTATGACAATGTTACCTTTAAAACTGTGTCATCAGTCACCAACAGTTCCCTCTCACACTTCATTATCTGACAGTGGAGCAGCAATCAACACGCACACACACTCATAATCCAGAACCTGCCTTAAAATCTGTGAGTCAGTGAATGTAGAGACAGGGATTGTTGATATGTTCAAGACATTGCATCCTGAATAAATACTGCAATTTAAAAATCACTTCGACTCCCATCGAGAAGATAATTAATCTGTGATACCTTCCAATAATGAAACAAAACCCGAGGACCTGCAGTCTAAATTTCACTGAGCAAATTTCAAAAGTTAAAAAAAAGTGCAGTATTCCACATGATTCTGTGTAGCAACGCCATATTCTTCAATTAAACAATTCTCGTCAAATGTTTATTATATTGCTATGGTCTTTAAAAATGGTGTGTGTGTGTGTGTGTGTGTGTGTGTGTGTGTGTGTGTGTGTGTGTGTGTGTGTGTGTGTGTGTGTGTGTGTGTGTGTGTGTGTGTGTGTGTGTGTGCCCAGGTGCTGAAGCTTGTTGCCAACCCTCCCACCAGCCAAGCCTACTTGGATGAGCTGCAGTGCCATTTCTTAGCCAAATGTCACACCACACCAACACCAGCACCAGCACCACAACACCTCCAAACACAGTCAACAGAAGCTGATCTGAGACCTGTGCAGGGTGACAGTACACGACTGGAATCAAGATAGTCTGTGAGGCAACATCTTACAAAAACATGGTGCAGAGGCTGCCAACTAAGTTAAGTCAAAGTAATCCTTCATTACTACAACTTACAGTAGGATACGGATACTGCAACAAAGACAGAGAGGAGATCACTCCTTACTCACTGTGCTCTGATAAACAGAAAGTGTGAGTGTGTGTTTGGGGAGGGGAGGGGAGGGGGGAGGGGGGGGTTGTCTCTCTACTGTCTGTGACCTTGAGACAAGATCCCTGAGAGAGGAAAAATAAATCCCTGCGGGGGATGGCGTCAGTGTGTGTGCGTCCTCCTGAGAAAGGGACTTTGCATGTGTGTGTGTGTGTGTTTTTGTTGTGCATGTGCGAGTGTGTTGAAAGAGGAAAGGCAGCAGGGTGTACAGCAGATGCGAAAGCGGGAAGGGTTTTTGATATCACAAACCTGTCTGGGGTTATCAGAAAAAACAACTTTAACAACACTTTTCCCCTAATGTGGTTTAGTGCTGTTTATACTTCCAACTGTAATAAAACAAATCTCTTGTTTTAACCAAAAATGTCTCCAGGCTCTTGGATGGAAACTCGATTCAGTATCTCTCCTGCTCTAAGAGAAAAGGCTTCCAGCCTAACACCAGCTTGAAATCTAAAACTAATACATATTTGATATCAAACGCTCCAAACACAAATTAGTCTGGCAGACAGACGCAGCCTCCTAATAAAAGACATGATGCAAACAAAGCTGTGTAATGTCTGTTTCATTGTGAGATTGTTGTGTTGTTGTGAGACTGTTCTTTATGCGTTACAGCTCCTACATTGCACTTTTTGTACATTTTGTGTTTTTTATATTGTATATCTTACATTTTTAAATTCTATTTTATATATTGTAATAGCTTATTACACTGTATTATTTAAGTTGTTGCTAGTTCTGCGTTATTTCCTTGTTAATTGTTTTGCACCAATACACCAAGTCAAATTCCTTGTAAGTGTAAATGTACTCGACAATAAAACCCGATTCTGATTCTGAGATAGCGGGTCTGCACATTATGGGGCCAACATGTTGAGAATGTTGTTATGGTTTCTCTGCAGCTCAACGATATTTAATTGTCATGCTGTTCAATCATGTTTAAACGCAGCTTTCGAGCATGTATTTTGCACTTAGCCAAATGTATATAATCTGTCAGAAGACAGTCCGTACACTAAGAATATGCTTTGAAAGTCTATTTAATAATTTTAGCAAAAAGAAAGGAACTAATAAAAGAAGGATGGGATACACAGACTGTGTTTGCCAATGGAAACAAAACAACACTTAATACTTTGGGGTGCTTTTGATGCTTTGTGTTACAGTCAGAATAAATTCAATCATAACTGGTCATTGGTGCCTTGCCTACACCTCAAAGAGCTCAAAGGTCTTGCTCTGCTATAACCTTATAAACTCAGCCTGACCGCTCAGGCTGAATAAACATCGATAATAAAGTGTTCTGCGTATCAAAACTGGCTTTTATAACGAAGGGAAAGAATCCGGCACTTGTGTTGTTATTTGTGTAAATCAAGAACATTATGGCCATTATACCTGCACGACAGCAACCAGTTATTAGTAAATGATTCATATTTAACAACTAATTTGACATGAAATGCTTCTTAAAATTGTTACTTTTAGTGAAGCAAACTCTAACCCAATCTCAAGTCTCAAAAAAAATAACTTTCGCTTTTTCCTACAGGTGAGATGTTTGTACCTTTTGGGAAATTGTTGCAGCCCGACTCTCAGTGCTCTCAAATTCCTTCTCGCCTGTCACTGACAACAACAGAGGTCATTTGAGGACTCGGGTGTCACACATTTCACACAAACCTTTCTTGAACTCCTCCAGCATGGAGTCCAGCTTGGTGTCGTGAAACACAAAGTGGACCGGATGGTTGTAGAACTTGGTTATGGTCTTGAGGGTGGTGCAGTCGTCCGGGTCCACGAAGGCCAGGTCCTTGACGTAAAGGATGTCCACGATGTTGGACCTCTCGGTCTCGTACACAGGTATCCTGGTGTACCCGCTCTCCATGATCTCGGACATGGTATTGAAGTCCAGAACAGCGTCGCTGTGTATCATGAAGCAGTCGCCGATTGCTGTCATGACACCCTCCACGGTTTTGGTCCTGAGCTCCAGCGCGCCTTGGATCATGTTGAGCTCCTCCTTCACCAGGTCGTTGTAAGGCTCGGTGACCTTCAGCATCTCCACCAGCTTCTCCCGGTTGTACACGGTGCCGATCTCCTGACCCAGCACGAAGTCCAGGAGCTTACTGATGGGCCACGACAACGGGAAAGTCAACAGCATGAACAACTTGGTGACCATGATGGTGTTCGCTCCAACTGCGAGGCCGTGTCGGGAGCACAGCGCCTGCGGGACGATCTCCCCGAAAATGACGATGCCCACCGTGGAGGCGACCACAGCGCCCAGCCCCGAGCCGATCAGGTCGTCCAGGAGGATGGTGAGGGTGGTGTTGACCAGGACGTTGCCTAGGAGCAGCGAGCACAGGAGATAGTTCCCCTTCCTGCGGATGGGCTCGATCTTCCGCGCGTACTTCTTCTCCTTCTCGGTGCCGCAGCTCTGCACGATGCGCAGCTCCATCGGGTCCAGCGCCATCAGCCCCAGGTTGAGCCCGCTGAACATACCGGACAGCACGAGCAGGAAGGAGATGAGGATCACCTGTAGCCACACGGGGAGCAGGGACTTTTTCTCCTCCACCACCCGCAGTCTGCCGTCTTTGTCGTCCAGCAGGTACCACTCCTTGTCCTGGGGGTCCTGGATGCACAAGCCGAACACCTTCACCATCTCGCTCTTGCGGAGCTGCTTGATGTGGACGCTGACCAGCCCGGAGGTGTTCTGGTTTCGCACATCCATGGACCCCTTCACCACTACATCCTTCGTGATTTCGGGACAAGTCCTATTAAATGGTAGACTGATGGCGCCGAAATCGTCATCCTCTTTATCGCTGGAGTAAAGTTCCGTGAAGCCGACGATCTTCGAGCATTCCGGGGACAAGTGGAGCCCATAGAACCTGAGGAGGGTGATTTTACTCCCCTCGGTCACCTGAATAACCCCTTTCTCGGAGGTCTCTGCCGGCGTGTCGCTCTCCTCCAGCCGGTAGCCCAGTATCCGAGGGGGGGTTCGTGTCTCCGAAAAGGCCGCCTCGGCTTCCCTGCCCGCAAAAACACAAGAAAACACGAAAAAAGTAAGCGTAAACCTCCGTCCACTCGAGTCTATCGCCATGTTTGTTTCGCTCTCTGTGAACGGGGGAACTGACGTCACCTACTAGTTTCCACGCGCCCACCCCTCTCATCTGCATACCAGCTAAAACCTCGAAGTTGCAGCCAATCACAAGAGGGAACGTCACTTAAAGAGCTTGACCGAGCCCCCCTGAAATATAAGTTTTAAGCTAGACTGGTATATTTTAATTTAAGGTGGACTGTGTCCGTTCTTGCTGTAGTTCGCTCATTACTTGTTCACAGTTAAAGTATGTTGTAAGTCTCGATGATCCATTTTGATAACACGATTATAGAAGAGTATTCAATTAAGTTATTTGAATGTTTCATACTTTATTCATAATTGCAGATAAAGAATTTAGATTTAGAAGAAGTACTTAAACATTTGGATTTAATGTTTTTTTTTTATTCAAAAGCAACTCAAATTGACTTGTAGTAAACAAAATGTTTTCTTAATGCATAAGTACAAACTTTTGTATACATGAAAGAGATCAGAAAGGTAAAGGCTACTTGGTTACTAAGGGTCTCTGAATTTAATCTCGAAAAAGAAAGCAATATTTTTATACAATTTTAAACACGCCTGTTTGCTATGATGAAATAAGTAGGCTATATCCTTTACACAGTTCATTTTTGTTCTGATAAAGTTATTAAACTAAATAAAAAGCGTCACTTGTTGTACTTATGCTCCTCTTTCGCCCCCTGGTGGTGATTAGGATACACTGATTGTTTGAGAAACCTGTGACGTTCCTTTTAGAATATCCTTTAAGGCAGAAGTATCTTGTGTTTATTTCAAATTAACCCATATGCCCATATGCCAGAAATTAAACAAAATAAAAAATAATTGTAAAATGTGACAGAAACAACACAAAACTGTTAATCACAATAACTGACTCTAAATTCCAGGTTATCAAGTTAAATGTACAATGAAAGTTTACAAATGAAAGGCTCAATGAATGAAGGATTTTTGATTTAAAAAGAACCACGAAGGAAGAGTTTGTTTGTGACTGGAAGTGATTAAATCTGTGTGTGTGTGTCAGTGTGTGCGCTTGCGTACGTACGTGTGTGTGTGTGTTTTTTGTTTTTTTTAACTTTTCTGAACTTTTCTCACTATGACATAATCATTTTTTTTCTAAAAAATGTGACTGTATCTTGAAGTAATTATGAAAAGCAATGATTTCATTGAAGAACTGAGATTCATGCCGTAATCTTTTTTAAATAACTATCCCCAAAAGTGGTTATATTTACATAATATATTATTTTATAAATATTTATTTTTGTATTTACTAAGGCAGTTGTAGATGTATTAGTCATTGGTTGTTTAACATTTTCATTAAAAACTGCTTCGTGACTGTTTTAATTTTATTCAAAAATGTACTTTAATCTAAATTATTTTTTGTTGCATGTGTGAGACCTGCCCTTTCCTCATTTTTAACTTTTGATAAAATTTCTTGATGCACTTTTGATTACAGATCAAATGAACATGAGGTGGATAAAGCTTCTGGTTTGTGAACGTTTTTAACCTGCATAATGTCTCATAGCCAGCAGAGGGAGACTACTGTCTTAAAAACAGTTCAAATCAGATGGGAAAATGACCCCACTTCTCAGTTTATTTATATCCTCAGTGAACATTTTCCAAATGAGCGAATGATCAGACTTGTCAAGTTCCAGTCTTCTTGAATACAGCAGGATTTTCATTTTGTAAATTATGAACATTTGGTGTGAAACAGCAAAAAGCAAGGAGTGCTTTAGGGCTTGGCTACCTGTGCGGTTGATAGATTTTACAATTGGCGACAAACACTTTCCTGCCTGTATGTAGAGTCCTTCTCTGAAGAAAACACATGTTAGTGCCTAAAAAGTACCCTCCATTACTGATATTAATCTGCCCTGAATGTCCATGCTCCTCCTCTAAGAATAGCCTGACAAAACCCTGTGATCCACTGTTGATGGTCTCCTCAAACAGGTTTGGGTGCTCGTTGTGCTCATTACAAAAAAAACATAGTTATAGCTCAAACAACAGAAGCTGCCCACCTTCCTCCTGCCTTTCTGAAAAGATCTCTTCCTCTCCCAACATCATCCTGCCCCTTGGTCCACAAAGCTGCTGCCTGAAAGTGTTCAATCAGCCATTAAATACACAAAACAATGCCTTTAAGAACAAACACACTCACCTCCACTTCACTATATCTGCTCCTGGTTTCAGCATTATTAGAACTCTAATGTGACCTCACACTCCTCTAACAGCCCAGCTTTTCTGTCACATAAGCTGTAGTCCTTCTTGTCTCCTGTCATTGACCTGTTCACATTCTTTTGTCGTCGGCCTTCAAGATCAGCGCGCAAAAAAAGCCTGGCCTCTGTTTATCCAGCCCAGCTGCACGTTAATCCAACCATTTGAATTTACTGAAACCGTTTGACTCCTCTTGTGCTCCACTCTCTCTTCATCCTTTGCTCCTGTTACCAAAGCTGCAGCAGTCTTATTGTTTTTATTGATATCTGTTAGTCAGCCTATAAAGCCTCTGTAGTTCTCCAACTAACTTCTTCTGAAACTGTTCTTTCCCTGAAAAAGTTTGCCTGCAAACACCAAAAATCGTGGTGACCTCCTTGAGCTCACACTATCAAATACGGTCTATACACCTGGGTTTGTCTGTGTAGATGATAAATGTCTGTTGATGGATCCCGATGGATGGAGATCAGCTACAAAAAAGTTCTGCCTCCTCTTCCCCAGTCCTCAAGTTGACTGTGGCGTACTAGAAATCCTCTGGGAGAAAAAACCGGGAGAAGAAAAGTGGTAAGTGTCTCGGAAGGTTTGGAAATGAATTTATTGTTTTAAGTTTCCACATCCATCAAGATTGATCTCATCAGCAAAAACAAGCTGACCTTCATAGTGAGCTGTTAGTTGTGTTGAACCACAGTGGTGAATCCAACAAAGCATAAGCTGCAGACACACACCTACAACATCTCCTCCTGCATCCCAGAGAGCATCCAGTTTCATCATGAAGACGATTGCAAGATTTCATTATGGTAAAGCATTTAAAATATGAAAATAAATAAATTACGTTCTAGAAAGGGGAGGGGGGGGGAAGAGAGACACTGCAGAGACTCATAAAGACACACAACAGGACAGAAGCAAAGACCAGGAGAGTAATGTCAGAGGTGTGAAGAAACAGACTTGATGAAATCCAAATGACATAAAAGTAAAGCAATAAACAAAGAAATGAAATATTTCAATACAAAAACTAACAGGTCTTATTGAAATGTAAATTTTAACAGTATTATTGCTCCTTAGTTTTTACTTCATGTTCCAAAAAACAATCACATGTGAGGGTCTTCAATAGCAGCATTTGCAAGATATACGAGTCGCATGGAATTTCTGACCCGTCTGTCGTCTAGCTTTTGAAGACATTTTAGATACAGTTACTACGACTCCCCAGTTGGTGGCAGTGTAAGAGGTGAGCCAAATGTTCTCAAAGTGGCTGAAGTGAAACCATTTAATCAAAACCAATACAGCTGTCCATCGTATTGACAAAGAAGCATGAAAGGGGTTTAAAAACAAAATATACAAACAAGCAGGTTTAGTTAAATTGTTAATTATTAATACCAAATGTAAATTCATGGCTTTGCAATTTCTTTGTTTTTTAAATAACTTTAAAGAAATAATTTTAAAGCTTGGGTCCAGTTTATCAAATCAACAATTGACCAATTTTAGATTGTAATGATTATATGCTCATACTTTCTTTGTTTATATGAAAAGAAGCATTAAATCTGAAAATTATTTTCAAACAAGCAACATAGGCCCTATAGAAGAAAACAAAAAAACAAAAAGATCATTAGTAGGAGTCTGGGCTTGCAAATGTCTCAATAGGTTATGCATCAGTAGTCTAATAATGAACCTATAAATCATTTAGCAGTTTAACTTTAAGAGGGCTGCAGTCGTCTATGTTTTCCTGATCCACAAATTGTGTCATAAACTGCGTTTCACTTGATTTTAAAGTTTATCAATTTGAGCTCATACAGACCACAACTCCTTACTAATCGTTGCACATTAAGTGGTCATTGTTGTGTCGCCACTACTCGTGCTGTTTTCCCACGTTTCCGCTTATTGACGCAAGAAAAACTCATTTCTATCTGACTGGCGCGATGAGACGCTTCGCTCTCAAACAAAGGGAGGAGTAGAGAGAAATAGAGGAGGGGAGAGCATGAGGGAGGGGAAGAGGAGAGGCGGGTGGTGGGGAGCCAGGAGGAAAACATTAGCCCTCGTTTCTGCTCGGAGTTTTGAGATTTTCCTTGCATTGAATTCCCTGGACAGTCACCCGGGACGTGCGGACAGGACGTGAGGTGAGAGGACGCGCTTCTACTCTCGCTGTTTTGCGGACTGCTTAGAGGTCAAGGTGAAGGGGTTAAAGGGGGGAAGATTGGTTGACATGCTGGGATGGATTTTGGTGAAGAAAGGGCAGAGATGGAAGAGAGGTCTTGAGAGAAGCAGGCGGGTGAACAGGAAGCTGAAGTAAGCGGTGTCTCCTCTCCCTCTCTCTCTCTCTCTCTCTCTCTTGTCTCTGCTGCCCTCCAGGGACTTTAAAAAAAAACCAGAAAAGTAGCGGAAAGAATGACAGGCTGAGTTAAAGGAGGTGAAGAATGTTGGAAAGTCCAGGAAACACCCCTGCTAAACTTTCTTTTTTATTATTTCTAGTAACTCATTGTGTGCTTTCACAACACCACGACTTAACTTTAGTTCCCTGTTGTTTTAGCATGGCTTTTTAGTTCCGCGAACTTCTCCTAAACTTCTCTCGAATCGTGTTTTCACCCGTGATGCTGGAACTATACCGCCAATAATGTGTTTTGTAGTTTTTACATGAACGTGTTTGAAGGGCACAGGGGTCGTTTTGTTCTCTTAAGCGTGATTTTAGTTCATGTTTTCGCTCACAGCTGAAGGTTGCAGTCCTGGCTGGAGTTTGCTTGAAGGTAAAGATGACGACATCTTTCTTCATAGTAAGAGAGGAGATGAGGAGGATGCTCATGACAGGTAGCCTAGATAATTGTACATAGGCCTGTAGG